AGCGAGTTAGTCTAGATTTAAAAAAAAACTTTATGGTGTTTCTGTTTTTCTTAACGCAAGCTGTGATCTTTTAGAGCTTGAAGCACGTTTTCAGGACTCTCAGCTACTACCACACCAAATCCTGGGCAGATTTGAAGCAGATTTTTTTTAACTTTTATTCGTTGTTGTTGTTGTTGTTTTTGAACCTGAACGTTTAAGAGTTCACATCTAAACTCTAGAATTACAGAAAATAACTTCAGAAGTTGGAAACATCTGTTTTTATTGTTCATCTACAGCACAGACGGCCTTTCCAGAGCAAATTTGACAGAAATTAAGCTCCAATTAAAGCCAAGAGTGAAAATAAAAAGTCATTTACAGAGAATAAGAAGCAAACTGTGAGAAATAAAAAGCCAGCAGAGGCTGAGTTAAGCAGCTGCTGTCAGCTTTTGTTACTCCCTGCAGCTGAATCAGTGCCACAGCCCAGAGAGCAACATAACGACAGAGAACTGAGTCATCATCTTCCTCCAGTTTCAGAGAAATCTCAGCAGCTCCTCTGATAATTGCACAATTACGCCAGTTTTACACGATTAAATGTGAAACATCTCCAGGCTGTTGCTCAGAATAAACGTGACAGAAGACACGGAGCAGATTGAGCCAGAGCTTAAGAGCAGTTTTCATTATGTTCTGCTCTATTTTAAAATTAATCTGCTAACCCGGAAATAATGAATCAATCAGGAACAGACAAATCGTATCAGGAATGGATGTCCGGCTGGAAACAGACAGAAGAATCAGAGGGTCTTACCTTGGCTGAGCAGCAGAGCTGGAGACAAAAACAAAAGAAAAACCATTAAAAACTTCAAACAAGAGAAAAGTTTTATCTCCTTTAAACACTTGTTCTCTTTATTTTCATATTTCATTTCTGACTCCGGTGAGCTGTGGAACGAAACGAGGAACAGTTCAAGCAGGAAATGCAGAAACAGACCTGAGATTCCTCTCTTCAGCCAGCGAGGCTCCTCCAGCACGATGAAGAAGTTCTCATGCTTTTCGTACTCCTCATCGTCGATGATCCTCACCTGCAGAGTCTGACTGCCAACACAAACAGGAAGTCACAGTCAGATCAGGGCGATTCGCCACGGGTCGCCCTCGTTAGCGCGCTCGCTCCTGCTGGCTCTGATCAGAGCGGAGGAAACACCGGGAGATCGATAACCGAGTCAGAATAAGGTTTCTGATGGATGATCACACAGTTCCAGCAGCTGTTAAACGTCAGCTTCAGCATCGATCCGGCTGGAATGAGTCGTGTTGCTTTTTGAGTTTCAGCAACGTTTTATTAAAAAAGGAACTTAAAAGGCTGTCATGACAGGAGAACGAACAACAACAGAACAGCAGGAATAAAAAGACTGATGGGAATGGAGAACAGGTGTGGCAGCAGCACACTGATGTTTTCCATTAAAACATGAAACTAAACATTTAAAAACACAAACGTAATGAGGAAGGACTTTTAAACGACATCATCGCTCAGAGGCTTTCAGCCGTTTTCCAGGAAACATTTTTTAGAAATGGAGAATCATGAAGGTTTTTAACTTTGTGCAACAAAAATAAACACCAGAGATACGAACATTTAATCCCACTGATTGTTGATAATAATCCACCAGTTTCATCAAACTGTCCCTAATTATCTGGCAGCAAACTGCAGATTAAACAGAGGAGGAGCCTGGAATCAACCCTCTGATGAAAATCACATTAATTAGTGCGACGTGATAAGATCTGCCTCCCACAGTGTTTCAGACAGGAAGGAGGGAATAAAGACCTCTTCAAAATCTGCTGCTCTTTAAAAAGAACAGATTATTGATCGAAGAGGGTGTTCTTCATCTCCACACGAGTGAAGCCCTGCTCTATGATGAGGATTAAGGCCACAGAGAGAGAGAAAAAAGAGATTAAAGTCAGAATTTTGACTTTTATCTAATTCTGAGAAAAAAGTCTGAATTCTCTTTTTTTTTCTCAGAATTCTAGACTGAAGTCCGAATTCTGACTTTTTGTTGGGATTTGTGTCTTGTCTGTTGTCTCCCTCTTGTGTCCTTCCTGCGTCATCACTCATCATCATCTCTCCTCCGTCTGTTTTCTGCTGTTTACCTGTTCAGTTAGCTCTCACCTGTCAGTAGTTTCCAATTAGTGTTCCTCAGCTGTTGTTCATCTTCTCTCTTCTTCTGTGTGTATAAATACTCTTCTCTTCTGTTCATTCTCTGCTGGATCATTGTATGGATTACTCCTGCTCTCTTGTTTTCATCTGTGTTCCTCGATGTTTTAGTTTTATTTTAGCTGCCCTGTCAGCTCTTTTGTTTTGTTYGTTAAATAAATCCTTTTTAGTTAAAAATTTCATCAACTGTCTGAATCTGGGTCCATTCCTTGCACAAACCTGACACTTTTACCTAATTCTGAGAATAAAGACAAAATTCTCCTTTTCCCCCCCTCAGAATTACTTTTTTTAAATTTGGAGATTAAAGTAAGAATTCTGACTTTTTTTTCTCAGAATTCAGAGATTAAAGTCAGAATTTTGACTTTCCTCTAATTCTAAAGAAAATAAATCTAAATTCTCTTTTATTAAAATTATGAGATCAAAGTCAGAATTCTGACTTTTTTAAAATTCTGAGATTAAAGTCAGAATTTTGACTTTTCCGTTATTCTAAGAAAAAAACATTCCAAATTTTCTTCTTTTCACAGAATTCTGAGATTAAAGTCAGAATTCTAACCTTTTTTTTCCATAAAATCCAGAGAATAAAGTCAGAATTCTGACATTTTTAAAATCTGGGCAATGAAGTCAGAATTTTGACTTTTCACTAATTCTGAGAAAAAAAAAATCTAAATTTTCATTTTTTTCCCCAGAAGTTTGAGATTAAAGTCAGAAATTTGACTTTTTTTTAAAATTCGGGGATTAAGAGTCAGAATTTTGATTTTTTTTTTTCACCAATTCTGAGAAAAAAAAATCAAAATTCAAATTTTTTTCTCAGAATTCTTAGATTGAAGTCATAATTTTGACTTTTTTTTCATTTGGGAATTAAAGTTAGAATTCTGACTTTTTTCTCTGAATTCTGAGATTGAAGTCAGAATTTTGACTTTTTTTCTCAAAATCTGGGGAATAAAGTCAGAATTCTGACTTTCCCTAATTCTGAGAAAAAAAACAGAATTCTCATTTCTGAAATTAAAGTCTTTTTTTTTTCTTTTGTCAGTGGCCCTAATCCTTTTGTGATGACTTCTGGACTCACGTGGTCTGGTCATTGGTGAACTCCAGCTCCCCCCGCGCCTCCTCGTAGTCCTCGCCCGCCTTGGCGGTGCCGCACTCCGTGTGGTACGGCAGGATGACGGTGCCGCGGGCGCCGGAGTTGCGCACCACGGTCACCTCCATGGTGCCCACGCTCTCGCTCACGCGCACCATGCGCTCAGTGAACGTGAAGATGCCGGCGTGGTCGTCGTCCAGGATGGTCACCGTGGCCACCAGGGGCTCGACCAGGCGGGCCTTGGGGGCGGCGCCCGCCTCGTCGCTTTCGAACATCCCCTCGGCGTCACCGACCCGCAGGTTGAGCAGACGGACAAAGAAGTGCTCGTCTTCTTCAAATATGTCGTCGTCGATTATCCCGACCTGCACACAGACGGAGGCAGAATGTGAGGCTAGCCAAAATGTTAGCTTAGCAATTATCTGTTAGCGATTAGCATAACTGTGCTCACCACTGATAAACGTCGTTTAACTTGTAAAAAGCCGACACCATAACATTTATTCTGAGAATTCGTATAGCCACCTGTTCATTTCTCTTCAGTCAGCTCTGGCCACGCCCACTCTCACCTGTTCTCTGTTGCTCAGGCTTCTCCACTCTGTTCATCAGCCTCTGTCCATACAGTCACAGTTTTCACTCCACCTTCAGTTTGTCATCGTGTTTCTCCTCTGTGACCAGACTGTTTGCATTTCTGGGTCAAACTCCAACAAATAAACAGTTTGGAGTTGATTCATTGGACTTTGTTAGTTTTTAAAGCTGTGAAGCCACAACATTAACTAAATCATAACGGATGATTCTTCACGCATCACATATTACATCTACACAATGTCTCCTGATTTATTCTTTATTTCAAATAAATGTTTTTATAATTAATATAATTGATGTCTCTTTGTAAGCAATGAGCCGATCTGCAGATCTTCATTCAGTCTAACGGGAAGCGACAGATAACTTCATCTCCACTCATCTGCTGTAGGGAAGTTGTTCAGTTTATGATGGAGACATTAAATGCATTCAGGAATTCAATTAGAGCTCTTTAATCACACTTGAGAAGTGTTTTGGCTTAATTATGTGAATAAAACAGACTGAACGAACTCCCACTTGTTTTGATGTTAAACATTATGTTACAGCACAGTAATATAATAAACACAGGGCAACTTAAAAATAGACTGAAGCAGAAACAAGGAAATAGTCATGTAGAAATTAAAATTAAAAAAGCAATATATTAGAGAATAATTAAAAAGTTACTGGTGTTATATTTTATTCTGAAAGGGTCAGGTTTGGATTATTTGAACCCAGGAAATACAGACTTGAACACAAGAAACTTGAGTTGAATAAAACTAAATAAAGTTTATTCATCAAAAACAAAAGACTGGTGGCAGCAAATGACTTAGAACCAGAACACGAAAGAGAACCATACGAGGAACTGATGAAGAGTAACACTGAATTAAAAAAATAATAGAAGCTTGTGGCCATGAAATAATAAGTCATGGTCACAAGATAACAATGTTTATCCATGAGATATTTAATGCGTGGCCACGAGATTGTAACTTTTGGCCACAAATTAATAACTTTAGCCATCTGACAGTCAACATGTGGCCACAAGATAGTTACTGTGTGGCAACAAAAAGTCATTAATGGCCATGAGTTAATAACTTGTGGCCACACATTAATAACTAGTGATCACAAGATCATAATGTGTGGACACGAGCTAATAACGCTTGGATATGAGAGTTAATGTGTTGTTATGAGATAACTCATGGCCATTAAATAATTAATTCATGGTCATGAAATAGTAACTTGTAGCCAGTAACTAATAACTTGTGACCACTAGAAAGTAATTTGGGGGCATGAGATAGTAACTTCTGGCCACAAAACAGGCAATTTGTGGCCATTAGCAAACAACACTTGGATATGAGATTTAATGTATGGTGATGAGACAACTCATGGCCATAAAATAGTTAATTCATGGTCACGTGATTGTAACTTGAAGCCAATAATAACTTGTGATCACTAGATAATTTGTGGTCATGAGATAGTAACCTGAGGCCAAGAGACAGTTAGTGTGGCCACTAGATATTATCTCATGGACATGAGATGGTTAATATGTGTCCATAATATAGTAACTCATAGCCACGGGATAATAACATTTGTCCCTATATAATACCTAATGGTCATGAGACAGTATTTTGTGGTGATGAGATACACTGTGGTCACTAGATAAAAATTTGTGGTCATGGGACAGTAACCTTTGGCCATGAAACAGGTAATGTGTGGACACGAGCTAATAAAGCTTCAATATCAGAGTTAATGCGTGGTGATGAGATAACTCATGACCATAAAATAGTTAATTCATGGTCATGAGATTGCAACTTGTAGCCATTAAATAATAACTTGTGACCACTAGATAATAATTTGTGGTCATGAGATAGTAACATGTGGCCACAATATAGTAACTCATGTCCAAGAGACAGTTAATGTGTGGCCACTAGATACTATCTCATGGACATGAGATGGTTAATGCGTGGCGAAAAGATAGTGACCCATAGCCATGTGATAACATTTGTCCCTTGATAATAATAATGGCCATGAGATAGTAACTTGTGGTGATGAGATAAATTGTGGCAACTAAATAAAAATCCATGGTCATGAGCTAGTAACTTGTATAGATATCTCTTGGTCATGAGATGTTTAATGCGTGGCCATGAGATAGTAACTCATAGCCATTGGATAATAGCTTATGGTCATGAAATAGGTAATGCATGGCCATGTGAGATAACAACCTGTAGCCACTAGATAACAACTACTGGCCATGAGATAGTTAATTGCAGGCCTAACTTAATTTAAAATAAAACATTCAAAGTTAATTTTAGAAAGCCAGCAGCTAAAGGCTAACAGTGGCTAAAGAGGATACAAATAGAGAACAATGATTCTGAAGGAGCTGAAGAGATCTTGGCCACAATATAGTAACTTGTGGCCAACTGATAGCTAATGTGTGGCCACTAGATAATATCTCTTGGACATTAGATGGTTAATGCGTGGCCACAAGATAGTAACTCATAGTCATGGGATAACGTTAGCCACTGAGTAATACCTAAAGGCCATGTGATAGCAACTTGTGGTGATGAGATAACTTGTGGCCACTGTATAATATTTGGTCATTAGATAGTAACTTGTGGCCACGTGATATCTTTTGGTAAGGAGATGGTTAATGCATGGCCATGTGAGATAACAAATTGTGGCCACTAGATAACAACTAATGGTCATGAGATAGTTAATTGCAGCGCTGTGTCTTCTGAATAAATGAAAATGATTTAACACAGTTGTTTATACTTTTAGCAGCTCTTTTTATTCCACAGCTGACCTGCTAAAAATGACAGATTTTCTTTTCTGGATCTCTGACAGACGGACTTCAATCTCTGAACTCATAAAGTTCTTCTTTTTAGTTTTCGCTGTCATTTTCATGAATGGACACTTCCTTGTATCTGAGGCAGGAAACATAGCCTTATATGGTGTTTTTGGGGTGGTAATTATGCTAATCTCCTCTCGCGTGCACGAGCAGCTGGATACGAACAGGTGAAATTTACGCAGCTCATTTACACACTTTTCCTGAAGATAGAAGAGTTTGTTGAACCTGACGTGGCATGTTCGTACGAACCCTTCAAACGAACAAAAGTAAGAGAAATTTAGGATAAGAATACGAGCATGTTCTTGCATGAGGCCCAATGATTCTGAAGAAGCTGAAGAGATATTGGTGTAATTCTATGGAAACAAGTTTTTGTTAATAAAATTAAACAATTCAAAAACTACAAAAGCTAAATACTAAAACTCACACCACAATAAGTTTGTTTGATCCAGAGGTTTTGGTGTTTGAACGGTTAAAGCAGCACAAAGTGAGTGGAAGTCGTTTATTAACAGAACTCAGCAGCTCTCTGAGTCTCAGACGGGTCTTTGGTTCAACAGGATGTTTCTTTGAAGGTGGAGGTCAGACATTCAGCTTGAATCAGTTCCCTGCAGCTCATCTCTAACCGGCGCTGCGATCGATTGGACCCGTGAAATGAGTGGCACCGGGTCTTTGTTGTGGACCCACTCAGAGTGGATCAGCCGGTCCTTGAGCTGCTGTCTGTGTCTGAGCTCTTCAGGTTCAGTTCACCGCTTCTGATCTTTGATCTGGCTTTAATTCCCAGGTTCACCTCATCTTTATGTCCAAACACTTCAAATGCCTTTACTCACACACTGAGCTTTAAAAAAAAAAAAAAGAAAAAAGAACTTTAACTGTAAAAAATAAATCCTTTCTTGTGTTTGATCCAAGTTCACAACGCAGGAGAACATGATTGTTGGAAAACAGAGCAGATAAAGTGTAAAATATCAGTGAAATAACAATAAAATCTAAGTTATTATTTAATACATTCTGTCAGATTTGATCTGTTTCCACGTTACGTTACGTTTTCACATTATTTTAGTTCAAAGGTTTATCAGCTCTAACTTTGTTTCAACCCTCTGTTTTTCTTCAGCCTTTCTCTGGACCTCCTGCTGGGACTTTCATCATGCATCTCATCTCACCTCCTTTCTTTTTGCTTTCATCTTTCCTGCAGCTGATTCAGAACTCTGAAGTCTTTAAGAGAAGAAGACTGATGACAACAGATCCTCACAAACAGGAAATGAGTAGCGGGTAAAAAATAAAAAATAAAAGGATGGCTTTTAAGAGTAAATTAAATCTTTTGTTTTTGTTCTTTCTGGAGGTCAGAGGGTTTCAGCCTACTTTTTAAAAACTCAAATAGTGGAAAATATATTAAGTTCAACAAACAGGAGGCTTTCTGCTTTAATTGGTCTGTTTGCAGATAAACAGTTTCCTGTGCTGAGAATCAATAGAAGCTCATCAGTGAGAGAGGAGTTTGCTCTCAGCAGCTTTTATTTCTAGGAGGACCTGGAGACCTCCTCCTGGCTCCAGACCTGGTTTTATCTTTCAGGTGGTCCGGACTCACCTTGATCTCTTTTCGAGTGTCTCCAGGTTTGAACACCAGCGTTCCCTCGCTGTAATCGTAATCTGAGCCGGCGTTGGCCGAGCCGTCTTCGGTTCTGTAGTCCACGTAGAAGGTGTTCTCTCCGAGGCCTCCTGCAAGAATATAAAACTTTAAATTAAATGATTAAATTAAATTAAATTGAATTTAATGCACATTTCTTTCTTTGTTTAAAAGTATTGATCACATGATGCAGATTAAGTTCAGTCCTACATTATTATTTTTATATCATAAAAATATTTCTAACGTGATAAAGTTACTGAAACATTAATTAAAAATCTATTCTTACATCTTGGAATCATTTATTTTATGTTAATAGTTTTACACATTTAACATTTTTTTAACCGGAAAAATCAGTGATGTAAGATGAAACTGATGTTGAGTTGTTAAAGCTAAAAAAAGAGCAGAAAGCTAGTTAAAACTGAAGGGTAGCAACATGCTAACTAAAAGCTAAAAGTTGTTAAAAAGGCTAGTTTAAAGATAAAAGTAGCTAAACGCCAGCTAAAAGCAACAAAAGGTTTGCTAAAAACTCACAGCTAGCTAAATGTAGCAAAAAGCTATATAAAAGCTAAAAGTTTTAAAGGTTAGCTAAAAGAAGAAAGAAATGGCTAAAAGATAAAGTAGCAAAAAGGTAATCAACGTAGCACAACAGTAGCTAAAATTGAAAAGTAGCAGAACAATAGCTGAAAACTGAAAGTAGCAAAACAGTAGCTGAAAGTTAAAAGCAGCTGAAGGTTGAAAGCAGCTGAACAGTGGTTGAAAGGTAAAAGCAGCTGAAGGTTGAAAGCAGCTGAACAGTAGCTGAAAGTTGAAAGTAGCTGAAGGTTGAAAGCAGCTGAACAGTAGCTGAAAGGTAAAAGAAGCTGAAGGTTAACAGTAGCTGGAAGTTGAAAGTAGCTGAAAGTTGAAAGCAGCTGAAGGTTGAAAGCAGCTGAAAAGTAGCTGAAAGTTAACAGTAGCTGAAAGTTAACAGTAGCTGAAAGTTGAAAGTAGTTGAAAGTTGAAAGTAGCTGAAGGTTGAAAGTAGCTGAAGGTTGAAAGCAGCTGAACAATAGCTGAAAGGTAAAAGTAGCAGAACGATAGCTGCTAACTGAAATTAGCAGAAGACAAAAACCGAGCCAGTTTGCTGAATCAGCTGAAGTCACACGCTGAAGAATGAAGCTGCTCTGTTTCCACAGGTGTTTCTGTATCAACAGGTAAGTTACTCCTGGCTCTACCTTGGCAGATGACAGTCAGGTAGAGGGTCCCACAGTTCTCCATGCACTGACTGTGGGCGCTCTCAAACGAGATGTGGCTGCAGACGGCCAGGTCGTCCTCCTCCGCTGCGTCCTCGTCGGTCACGGCGGTGCGGCGGGCGTGGTCGGCGGCGTGCTTCTTCAGAACGTTCCCGGCTCCGATCATCATGCGGGTAGCCTCGAGGTGAAACAAAATAAATATTTAGGATTTCTCCACGCGGGACCTCTCTGAGAGCTGACGGCGGACAGGTGTGTGTTACCTGGATGCGGTAGAAAGCTCTGCTCTTCTGTTGGTGCAGCAGAGCGTAGTAGTTAGCCAGCTCCACCAGCTGGTCCAGCTCTTTGTCAGGATATTTCTGCTTCAGCTCCTTCAGGATGCGAATCACCTGGAGGATTTACACAGAACAGGTAATCAGAAACCCCTGCTGTAGAGTTCAGAATTATGTTTATTTATCTCATTTATCTTGTTTTTTTCATTCTAACCTCTTTGCGGCTCTCGTCCAGCTCCTTTACACTCTCCATGTTGACCATGGCGCTGTTGGAGTTGGGCAGGTTACCTCCAGTGACTGTCGCTGTGGCGGCGCCGTCCTGAGCGCCGCCCCCGCAGTTTTCGGCAGGAACCATGGCGCCCCCTCGAGTCAGGAGCTTGCCGTCTATCATCAGCTCCATGCCGCTCTTGCTGGGGGTCAAGTCCCCCTCGGTTTCCACCACGATGCCGTGGCGCTTGTCGGCGCGGTAACGCTTGCCCATGTACTTGTAGAAGAGCAGGCGGCGGTCGGCGACCCAGGCCAGGATGACGCACACGGGGAAGAAGAGCAGCGTCACCAGGGCCTCCCACACCTGGAAACACAACCAGGCTGTTTACATTACCTGAGAACTGATCCGCTGACGACTGGAATCAGGGTTATTATTGTTAACTAAAACTAAATAACCAAAACTGAAACTGAAAAAACATTTTAGTTAACTGAAATAAATAAAAACTGTAATAAAATGAAAAATTATAACTAAATAAACTGTATAATTATTTTACAAAACAAACTAAAACTAACAAATTATAGATAGAATATCCTTAGTTTTAGTGTTTGTCAATTTATTCTGACATGGAAACCTCATATAAATTACTTAAGAACAAAAATAGCTTAATCTATTGCAGTACGCATAAAGTTAAGGAGTTATTTAATGAGAAAGCACTATTTATATTATATAATTCAATAATTGTTCCACGTTTGATCTATTGTATAGAAGTCTGGGGAAATGCATGTAAAACAATTACTAATAAATTACTAATCCCATCTCTATTTTACAGAAAAGAGCCGTAACAATTGAAGTACAGTCCATTTACCATTTACTCCTGTGAAAAACAAGCAACAAGTAGCACCGGGTTGGAGACAACTATTGTCATCATCCTAAAATAATCGCCTTAGTTGGCAAAATTGAGTTACACAATTATTTTAGGAAGGTGTTGCTATAATGGACTGCTTTAACTAGTGACCATGGTTAATGGTTAGTTAACTCACAGGAACATCACAAGCTGGAGGATGCATTGGAGAATATGTTTATTCAAACTACAAAATAACTAATACTAGAACTAATAAAAACTAAACTAAACTAAAATTAAGCATTAAAAATGCAATAATAACTAATAAGAACTAACAAATCCACTGTAAAAACAAGTTAAAACTAACAAAATTAAAAGAAAAAAAGTCACAACGAAATAAAACTAAACCATAAAGAAAAATCGTAAACTATTATAACCTTGACTGGAACCAGGCGGATCCAAAGGTGGACTCACCTCCACGACGCCCGGAGAGATGATGGACAGGATGAGGTAAAGCCAGATGTAGGCGAAGATGCTCCAGAAGGCGGTGATGAAGAAAACCCTGAGGTGTTTGATTTTACGCGACTGTCCGTCGGGGATCACCCACACGCAGATCCCGATGATCACAAACATGTTGAAGGCGGCGCTGCCCACGATGGTCCCTGGACCCAGCTGCCCGGCCTTGAACTCATGACCGCACACCTGCAGGGGTTCAGGATGACACGGATTACAAACACACGAAGAAGAAAAACAACGAGTTAAAGCTGAAGTGTTTCTAACAGAGGTTACTTCTATAACGGAGAGCAGGATCTCTGGGGCGCTGGAGCCCAGAGCCATGAGGGTCAGGTTAGAAACCGTCTCGTTCCAGATCCGAACCGTCGCCACAGAGGTTTCACCGTTGGGCATTGTGATGGTCACCTCCTTTTCCTGCAGCCACAAACACACACACACATTTACTGAATCAGCTAAACGTCTGCTTTTAACTAACAAACCTTTGGCTGCTTTCAGTTTTTTTTTTTTTTTTTTGCATCTTATAGCTTTAACCATCAGCTTCTAGAAACATTTGGTTTAAATTAAATGTCAGGTATTTATATCTAGATTTCATGCAGGGGCGGAGCTAGGCTTTTTGTAAGGGGTGGCACCGGGGTGGCCAAGGCGTTTTTTAAGGGGGGCACATGCAAAAAAAGAAAATCACTCTGGATTGGAAAATTCAAGATGGCCGCCATAGCTCTGCTGTTTTAAGAAATATTAAGATGAAATTTTGTGTGATCGTAGCTAAGAACTATAGAAAACAACATGCTAATGTGCAAATTTCCCCACTGTGGGATCAATAAAGTTTTATCTTATCTTATCTAAATGCTAGTCCCAATTTATGATTCAGTCAATTTTACACACACAAAACTAAAGATTAGTGTAAAAGTAGCTGAAACCAATCTTCTTCAATCACCACAGCTAATTTTAAAAGGCTAAAATGTAGCAATTTTAAAACTTACTGAGATGAAATTAGTTATGTAGTAGTCATGACTGATTACATGCCAATAATTGATGCTAATCCCAAATTAAGCAAGCCACTAATGCTAATGCAAATTTTACAAACAACTATAACTCAGCCATTTCTCAACATACACAGCTAAAAGATTTACATAACAAGGTAGTATAAGAAAACAATCTTTATCAAACTCTAAATGCTAATCAAAAATTCAAGATGCCCACCACAGCTAATTTTAAAAGCCCTTAAGTCAGCTGTTTTAAGATTTACTGAGATGAAATTAGTTGTGCAGTAGCCATGATTGATTACATGCCGATAACTGATACTAATCCCAAATTAAGCTAACCGCTAATGCTAATGCAAATTTTACAAAGAGGTATAACTCAGCCATTTTTAAACATACACAGCTAAAATATTTACATAACACAGTAGTATCAGAGAACAATCTTTACCAAACTCTAAATGTTAATCAAAAATTCAAGATGGCCACCAAAGCTAATTTTAAAAGCCTATAAGTCAGCCATTTTAAGATGTATTGAGATGAAATCAGTTGCGTAGTAGCCACGATTGATTACATGCCGATAACTGATACTAATCCCAAATTAAGCTAACCGCTAATGCTAATTTTAGAAAGCTATAATTCAGGTATTTTTAAACATACACATCTAAAATTATTATATAGTACAGCAGAGAACAATCTTTAACAAAATCTACGTGAAAATACAAAATCTAAGTTCTCCACCCACTTGTCAATTATTTTGGGAGGGGCATCTGGGGTGTCCAATCATGTGCCGGGAGGGTCACTTGCCACCCCGGCCATCCTGCCCCTGATTTAACACAGAATATAGCATTGTTTGTAACAAAATAATTTGTACTTGGAAAAAAAAACTAACAAATTTACTTAAATTACTGTAAAAATACAAAATCCAATTCAATTCAAATTCAATTCAAATTCAAAAAGACCGTATTGATCCCAAAGGGAAATAACAGTTAAATAAGAAAAAATATTTATTGTTTCATAACAAACACCTGCATCAAGTCAACGACGTGAAAAAAAATGAAGCTTTGTTTATTTCACATCTTCGTCTTAATAAAATTTAGATCCAACTACCTCAGCACGACGGGTCACAGAGTTTTATCCCTCCTCTGCTCTATTCATCACCATCAGCAGCTGATTCATCATGCATGAAACCTTCGAATAGAGCTGCAGACCTATTTGGACCTGATCCCGGTTACTTTTGGCAGCTTTTTAGTTTTGGCAGTGGTGGGAGTAAAGAGGGCCAAGCTTGGCCTAAAAGTCAGCAACCGGGTGATAAAACCAGATAAGGGAAGCTTTGTAAAGAGACACAGCTGTCCCAAAGGTAATCAGTCAGACCACACAACCCGAGCTGTTTGTGCTGAACGTGACTTCAACTCTGACAAGACAAGAACCACACGGAGTATAAAACACACAAAACCCGCCTGTCGCAGCCAAAAATTCAGGACCTCAGACTAAGCAGGACCTGCTGATCACAGCTGAACTGTGAAGGGATGGACTGTGGGAAACCCGAGCGGACAGTTCTTCCCCCTGACCTTGAAGAGGATGGAGTCAGCCCTCTGTTATCTCCTTCACCTCCACCTTATCTGACATCTCCATAATGAACAATCCAACTGCTTCTTCCTGGTCTTTATTGAGTCAAACTGAATCAGACGGCAGCTCTGAGGCACAAAAACCTCCATAATAAGAGCTTTGAAGGATTTCACTGACATAAAATATTAACTAGCTGCTACTGCTTTTAAGGTTGTGAAATTCTGACTCTTGTTAAATAAAACACTCTTCTGTCAGTACATGTGATTAAATCGAACACTTGGTCATAATTTGAAATATTATTGTAAATAAAAACATAAATTTAAAAATCTGGTTTTAAATCTGTCCTGGGTGCAGGGAAAAGCCTGTTCTTATTTATATTAATGAATTAAAATTAAATAAAAGATAAAATATTATATTATTATACCAATTATTGCACAATATGTGATATTATTTGCATTTTTCTTTCAAAATAAAACTAAATAAATCATTTAATTTGTTGCTTCACCTGCTGCAACAACAGCATCTTACCTGCGACGTGATGACCTCTATGGACGCCATGAAGCGGTCTGCGATGATGGACACGCCCAGGAACATGTACATGAGGGACGCAAAGTAGACCACGGCCCGGACCACCTGATACCCGAGCCCCGGCTGGTCGGGCTTCCAGACGGGCAGCAGAATGCCCGGGCTGCACGTCGCCACCTCCTCGCACTTCGCGGTGCCGTTGGAGGCCAGAGCGGCGCCGGTTCCATTAAACGAGGGCGGAGCAAAGGTGGAGGGCAGCGGGGAGGTCGGTGCGGTCCGCAGGGCCGGGGCGAAGCTGGGGGGGCTGCCGCGACGGGACTCCGACTGGCAGGGCGGCAGTGGCAGGAGGAGGAAGAGGAAGAGGAGGAAGGAGGCGGGGCAGGTGAAGAGACACATGGTTGGTTTTCACGGCGATGAGGAAGATGATGGGAGCTGAGAGCGGAGCTCTCCTGGACAGAAACAACAAAAAAAGTTTCAAATGTATCACTTAATAAAGAAATTAAATCTTTTTTTTTATTATTTTTGCTTTAATTAAACAAATCAGGATAAAAAACAAGTTTAGAATAAGTTTGATAAAACATTTTATAAAGTTTAAACAAGAACCAAGTTAGTTTTACAAATATTGCTGTGATGTTTGTTGTGGGAGGAGCTGCGAGTTGTTCACAACAAACAGCTAAACCTCTTTATTGACTTGGATGTTTGATTTCATCAGTTATTTATGCTTTAAATTTGTTATTTTACTAAGATTCATCTGATTATCATGTTCGATGAACAATATATTTATTTATGTGACTCATCATATCGAAATGAGGATTAAGTCAAATTTGGTCAAAATGACCTAATTACATTTTCAGATTCCTGCTTTAAAAGCTACATTTTGATACTTGAATCATCCTGATATTCTAAGCTTATCCAGAGATATGACTTAATTTGTTTTGTTGGTTAGGATAACACATTACTGTTTGGGCTGAATCCTAATTTTATGTAAATTTATTGAGTCATTCTTTATGTAAGAGGAAACCTCAAATATTATTTGTATATTAAGATTTCCCGGTTGGAAAGAAACAAAAACATTGCTAACTCACAGAGAAAAATTCAAAAATTTAAGGCATTTTTCCTCAAAATCTTGTTTTTTCTTTTTCTTTTTTTTTCTTTTTTTTTTTGCTGCTGCTGCTCAAAAAAAGGCTTCAAACTTTCTTTTAGGATTATATTCCAGACACTTCATTCCAAGGATTCATTGATAAGGCATTAATTCATTATATTTTGACAAAATGCAATTTTTGCACACGTTTAAATCAAAACCCTATATCTGCCTGTTTTTCTACATTCCACGTTTGGACTTAATCCTCATTTCGATGTGATGGGTCACATATGTGTATGTTTTAGACATTTTTTAGGAACGTTTGTATTTTGTACATTTGTTTACAGTGCTTTGTGTTGTTATAAAAGTTTCCTCATTAATGTTTAAAACACGACAAAGACGATAAAACTTTTCAGTTTCTGTTCGGAGAAATATGCAAAGGAAAGAACTAAAACAACAAAAATATCAAACCTAAAATATCTTAAAAGAACAAACAAACAAACAAACTATGAAATTTACTGAAAAGTATTTGAGGAGGGGGCTCCATCTGAAAAGAGGGTGTCTGGACGTAAAAAAGTGATTATAACTCAAAAACTGTTCAACATGGGAGCTTTAGATTATTTTAGGTGTCTAGCTCTGATGAAGGGCTATGTATCAGACCCACCAATGAGACCCCCACTGGACCCCCACCCAAAACAACAAGTCTGTTCTAATTCTGGTGCTGTGTGTACATACAGGGGCTCATTTATGTGGTATCTTGTTTCAGTTAAAGTCAAGACATTAAAATGGATTTCTTGATTTTTATGATGATTTAACTTTTTTTTTTTGTTAAAAAGGTTCCTGAGTTGTGAGCTCATGATGTCGTCTTCATAAATCCACACGTAGAACTGGTTAAAGT